TGCTTTCGCCTAGAAACACACAGCGTCTCCCTGACATGGCTGCTTCAACACTAACTGCGGTTACTGAAGTTATGCCTTCATTCTTTGATTGAACATTTGGGCGGTGTTATGCAAATCTTCCCACACAGTGACGTAGACTTGTGGGGGCGTGTTTAAACGAGGTGTTTTAGGAGGGCGTGGACCAGTCTAAACTTTTATAAAGAATATCTCTTTGGGTTTGAGACTTTAGTCTTTGCAACTTTAGGGATCTTATCTATTCACGAACAGCTTGTAACACTCCAAAGAGAACGGAAAACTTGAAATCACATCATATGACCCCTTTAATGAAAACAATGACCATATTTCTCAATTGTGCCCCTCTCTGTGTGCACCAAACAAATGTTAATAAGGTTAATAAGGCTCTTAAAATATCAGATAAAAGTCTCTTGTATCATCCAAAAGTTTGGGGTAAAAAAGTTTTTTTTTTTTTTTTTAAGTAATATTTTTATTCAAGGATGCATTAAAATGATCAAAAGTGACAGTGAAGACATTTACAATGTTATAAAAGATTTCTACTTCAAACATTCAAAAATAAATGCTGCGCTTTTGTTTTTCACAACAATATTAAGCAGCAAAAACTATGATAATAATAACAATAATTGTGCCCCAATAATAATTGATTAAAAAAACTGAACATTAAATCAGCATATTAGAATGACTTCTGAAGGATCATGTGACATTGAAGACTGCAGTAATGTTTGCTGAAAATTCAGTTTTTTAAAATGTAATATTTCATAATATTACTGTTTTTATTGTATGTTTTAATCAAATAAATGCAGCCTTATTTTAAAAACATTAAAAAAAATTTATTCCAACTTTTGATCATTATTGCATATTTCAAAACTTTTTATGAAAATAATGATTAAGATGTCTACACTAACTGATTCAAGGTTTAAGTAATAAAAAATGTTATTACTTTTTGCTTGATGGTTACACCACATAACATTTTTAGAGTCATTAAACTAGAACTTTTCTTGAAAACTGTAAAAAAAAAATTCAAACCCATCATGAATACAAAGTGTACATTTCTTGGCACATGAGTTTTAAACTAGGTTTGTAAAAAAATCCCTCTTGTTCTTTAACGTAATGACACATTACCAAAAATTTGACTCCACACAAACAAACGGATCCGATTTCATTACTTGCAAAATGACATTGTGAACAGCCATAAAGATCGGATTTGAAAAACAAATCAGTATTGGGTTCAATGTACATAGCCCAAGGCAAAACACAAAAAGAGCACAGCCCCAACCAGAGAGGCATTTCTTCCTTCTAATATATATCTTGCGCAGGTTGTAATTCAAAATGTTGTAATTTGGAGTGCAATTCCATTTTAATGCATCACGGCACTAAGGCATTACAATGACTTCTCCAAGCAGTCTTGCTTGCTTTATACGTTTATAAAAGTTAAGCAAGAGCTTTGCTTGTGACCTGGCACGCAATAACAGAACGGTCACAGTTATACAGGGAATCTGGGGAACAGATGCGTTCGTATTTGGCAGAGCACTGGATCATGCACTTTTGACTGACTCCACTGCACCGTTCAGCACGCTGAGAAAATTCACTGACTGCTTCCTCCGCATTGTTTGGCTAAGTTTCCCAAGTTTGACCCAATAGCAGTGAGCACAGATCAGAGGGAATACCTGCACTGCAACACTAGAATATAGTTCATTTCTTTGTTTCTTCTTTGTTCAGTGCTACATTCTGCCGGATCTGCAGGCAGCACCAACTTTCTGCTGAACAGACCACGTCTAATTATGTCCTCTTTAGGGCTGTTTCTTTTTAGGTTTCAGATTTTTTTTTCTTGGTTCCATAGAATAGGTCCCATTGTCACGCAGTCAAGCAAACAATTTATCTCTCACACAGACAGAGTAATGGGACGAAAATGGAACTTTACCTCAGTGTACTTAACCGCACCATATGAAAAGGTTTATGAAGTTACCAAGAGGTACAAAGTCAAGGGGGTTAGGCCTTAATAAAAGCCACAAATGAAAGGATATGAACGCGTTATCTATGATTTCCTTGCAACGGGGCATGTATGCATTCCTCTATGTCTACATAGCATTCCCATGCAATGTAGAACACTGCAGGTGAAACCAGGGGAAACTCAACTGGTGGGTCGCGACCCACAAATGGAAGAGCAAGAAGCATAAACACAATAAGAAAAGAGTAAAAAAAATGCAAACAATAATATTTAATTTTATTTTATTTTGCTATCCTAACTATGCACCATTATATAGTTGCATTAACTATATAACGGAGCAAAGTTGGGATAGCAAAATAAAATAAAATAACACAAAAAAATACTACAATTAAAAAAATAAATAAAGAACAAGATAAAAAAAATAATAATAAATATTGGTAGTAAAAACAAAATGCAAACAATAATAAATTAATAAAATAAATTAAAATAAAATAGTTTAAAATAAAATGAAATGATATAATAAAAAATAATACATTTAAATAAAATAAAAAATAAAATAAATGAAATAATAAACAAATAAATAAATAAATATTGAATAACTGATCTCACTCTGAACTCAAACTAGAAACTAGGACTGGGCGATACAACTTATAAAAAATGTTGAATACTGAATTATTTCTATTGTTATGGATATTAACGATACACAGTATAAGCATCAATATGTACAACAACATTTTAATACAAGAAAAATGTTTATATCATGGCAAAAGAATATAATCACAATAAAGCCATTTTCTCTGTATATTCAATACAAATTATTTATAAATTCAACGCTAAAACCTATTCTTGGATAATCTATTAAAATAAATACTTTAGAAATTAACGCTACTTTATCTCATTCGATTATTTCCTTTATTTGAGTGAATAAACTAGACTGTACTAGCATTAGCATCAGCCAGCTAGTACGAAAGATCACTTGAATGAATACATTTGATTGCTCTCTTTAGGTAAACTTTCACCGACGTTAAGGTTTAACTTAACAACGTCATTGACGTCACAAGTTCCCAAGTATAGACACAAATTGTCACCGTTTATTTTCTCATCTCAAAACTCCAGTGTTGCATTAAACGTCTGTTTTGCACATTCACACTGAAGACGAGACCCGCGGCTCCATCCTGCTGCAATTAGCACAGTCGCTGTCAACTGATTCAGAAATAACTTGCAGATGTGCAACTGAAATCTCTCCTGAATCTAATTCAGTTCCTTTTACAACACACCAACAACAGCCGTTTGTTTGAGTGAGTCGAGCGGCGCGCTGATTGGACGTGGAAGAGCAGCGCTGCTTCAGAATGGGCCACTCTGAAATATGATGACACTGCTTTACAAAATTAAACCCATTTGTCAGGAAACGCGAGAGCTTTGAGAGACAATACAAATGTTTGTTCGTAACGCTCAGATGAAGGTTAAAGAAAAACAAGAAATATCAATGTCAACCACACACTGGGGTTAAAATGTTCAAATAATCATGTTTCAACAAACAAGTGTTGTCCATCAACCAAGGTTGACTATTTTAGCTGGATTTTTTTCCAATTGAATATTTTTGGCAGCAGTTCTTTGAAACGGATAAATTTAGAGATGAAAAGCGGCTTTGTGCTTTATCACGCCGTTATACTGCCAGCACGGTAAAGTCTCCAAGAAGTTGTGTCTGTAAATTCACCACATTTACAGCACCATAACTGAGAAAATTATTCTTGTATACAAATCCACCGTACAATATATTTAAAGACAATTCAGATATCCCACTGTGAGCAGTTAATGTTGCTTATTGTGCATAATCCAAAGTGTGTTTGTTTTTTTGTGATAGTTTAGAGCAGGGGTGTCAAACTCAATTCCTGGAGGGCCGGGGCCCTGCCGAGTTTTGTTGTAGTTGGATCAGGTGTGTTTAATTAGAGTTGAATCTAAACTCTGCAGGGCTCCAGCTCTCCAGGAAATGAGTTTGACACCCCTGGTTTAGAGTGATAAAAGGTTTAAGGTGAAGATCCACTTTCACTGTAAGGTGCGGCCAGTGAAATTTCGGCAAAATTTTGCAAGTAAGTCTATTATCAGTAGCGCATATATGAAGCACAGCTCACACATAAGTCACTTCGAATCGCCATGTCCAACTTGAACCAGTTGCGAAATCTGTGTGGGGAAATCTTTCATCCTCTCGCGCAAATTCCAGATTGTATGGATTCCTGTTGAAATCTGCAGAACAACGGAAAATGTGACCAGCTTTTTTAAAGGGGTCATATGATGCGATTTCAATTTTTCCTTTCTCTTTGGAGTGTTACAAGCTCTTGGTGCATAAAGAAGATCTGTAAAGTTGCAAAGACTAAAGTCTCAAATCCAAAGAGATATTCTTTATAAAAGTTAAGAGTCAGCCACGCCTACCTAAAACGGCTCGTTCTAACACACCCCACATGTGGAAAATAATGTGTTTTTTGAACCTTAAACCACATAAACACATTTCATTACACCAAATACACAAAATAATGTTCTTTTTAGCAGCATCATATGAATTACATAATATAATATAATAATATAATTACATAATTATAATCATATAAAATTATTTTTAAAAAAAGCAGCTTGAACATTCTGCTAAATATCTCCTTTTACATTACTGGTCAAAAGTTTGTAATAATTAAAAGATTTTGAAACACTTATGCTAATCAAGGCTGCATTTATTTGATCAAAAATACAATAAAAGCTTG